AAAATAGCAATTGCTTTAAAAGATAAAATTATCCAAATCCTTCCCAGCCTTTTAACATAATCATAGTATAAGGTTGTTACCTAATATAACTCTCTCAGCCTTCTTTTAAAGAATCTGCTTTTGGCCTCCAATTTTAGTTTTATAAAACTAATGATATGCATGCTATACATAGAGGACATTACTTGGATTGCAAAATCGACCATTCCAATTTAAGGCTGCACAGGTAATCTTAATACTGGCATTTCCTAATGCAATCCTCTTTGTACATATGGACTGTGATATAGACTTTTGTTACATGATTGAATTACCATTTTTCCCTGCTTCAGTGTAAAGGCATGGACCCATTACACAAGCACCTAAATACCAGTGTTTACAATAGAAATACAAGAAGGATTCATTGTATTTTCTGCAATAAAAGAATGTAATTGAGGTGAAAAATCACTCTTTGACATCTCTCTTCAGTAGTAAAGCAGGTTTGTCATGCCGGGAAGCCCTAAACATTAGTGGGATTTGTTGGGTTTGTTTTGTTTTTTTTTATGTTGGGTTCTGGGAGTAGCACACTGTTAATTTACAGGGAATGTACTTTTTTTTATTATTCCTGGCAGAATAAATGCTACGTCTCACATCTAACTCTGGCATATATTTGAGTCTAGATTCATAGCACCACTTGATGGATAAAGATCTGTTGCTAGGTTTTACATTAGGCTGTCTCTCTTTTGAATTCTCCTTTACTTTCAAGTAAGTAAATAGCCATGCTCTGGATGCCACTAATGCGGTAGTAGTGCTAAATGCAATTGCAGAATGGGCTTGTGTAATAGATGCTCTTTAGAATTTGATGTTCCTGCAATTAAATAGTAAAGCTAAGACTTTAAAAACCAGGTGCCTACACTTATGCTGTCTTGGGTTTACAAAGGTGTTTAGTCACCTGCAAGAATGGAAAAATGCCTCAAGGGATGAATAGAACTGCCCAGCTACCTTTTTATAAACGTGGGCCTTGGCTTGTTAGTAGGAGTGTAAGGCTCATTAATCCATCTAAGCCCTTAACCACATGCTTTAAAAAATTTTATTCTAGTGTGCAGAAGATATGCATGGATGTCATTTTCTTTGAATTGGGTATTGGGTTTCAGTGGGAACTGCAAGGCCCTTTCACTTCTGTAAATGAAGCTGTAAAAATAGCCTATATTTAAGAGCTTTTTTGAAAGCTTTGCTTAAGCGCACAAATAGCATGTACGACATTCCCAATAGCAAATTACTGAAGTTCCCTCCCTTTCCTAGGACTGGAGAATAGAAGGTGAAGATGTGCTTTCTTATGTGAAATGATCTGGAATATGTTTTGAGTCAGGTGTGTGAAGGAGATGAGGGATTTGTGTTCAAATGCCCATTAGCTCTCAGGCGTTATCCAGGCAAATCCTTTGCATGGTGAGAAGTGAAGAGATCTCTGTATGCCAAGGCTTTTATATAATTACTTGCAAAATCCAAAGTAGTGTGAAATTAATTATAGCTTCCCTGAACCTGCCTAATCATTTATTAGCCATCATGTATGGTATTTGTAAACCACAAGCTGATGCTGAAGGAATCTGCAGGACAAAGTAGGAGTAAATGACTACATTGAATGATGTTGCTGGAATTTCAGTAAACCCATAATCCTTCAAGACCTTCATTCTGGCTGCTTCTCTTATACAAATGATTCATGGGAGTGCAGAGACTTATTAAAATTATAAATATGTCTTTTATAGAAAAATGATTCAAACCTTTGAACTCTAATTGCTGTTCTAATAGGGCCAAAACCTTGTCCTATTAAACTCCACTGGAATTTTGGCCTACTGGGAATTTTGTCCAGGACAGCAGTTAAATTTCAATTAAACTTAAGCCTGGGTTTGTAGTTAGATGTGTGTTCTCCTAAGTAGGACTGCTTCCTTAAACTGGGGTGGGGGAGTAATATCAGGGCTATAACAAATTCATGCATCTACTGGACTCTCCACTACTTTTGCGAAGTCCTTGCTAATTTCCTTCGTTTCCTCTCAAGTGTGTCCTAATTACCCTATAATGTATTCTGAGAACTGTAATGAAGATCTCTGCTATATGTGGTAGAAATTAGAGGTTCTCGAATATCCTGCAAATTTGCCAGGTGCCCTGTGCTTGTTAGCGATTCATATGCTTCCTCTGTATTTTTAATTTGTTTTCAAATGTACAAAAACTTCCCTGATAAGCAGACAAAGGTTATGATTTATAGCAAGCAAAACAAATCATGGAGAATCCAATATATCTCCTTGTTTCTTCAATGCCATAATCACCACTGAGCACCTAATTATGTATTTTACATGACTATGCTGACTTGCATGCCTAAATAAGAAGTGTGGATGTTCAGTATAGGTTCCGATGGATGCAATTTCTTCCATGCCAGCTTATCACTGGTTCCCCCACTGAAATCAAATAAGGGCATGGAGAAATCATCAAATTGGAGAGAGTTAATAGGTGAGGGGGCTAACTGTAGAGCAGCTGATCTCTGGGAATTGCATGTGCGCTCCCAGTTACTCCGTGTTGAGTGAAACGGGGCAATTTAATGTGGGTGTCTCCTGGGCTGGTTTAGCTTTCAGTTACCTTGGGGTAATTGTGTGCCTTCAAAGAGCTTCTTGTGTCATGCTTTACATTAAGTCCCTGTCCACTTGACTCTTTTGCATCTGAGTCCTCAGGGTGTGCTCAGAAATGTGGATATACAACAGTCTGTTGTGCTTAGAAAGTTGTAGGTGTGGGGCCAGTGTTTGTGCTGATGCAGAATGATATCAGAAGCATGTTGATTTTTGCTGAACTTCCTTCTTGAATGATGAGAATCTTAGCTCTTGCACTGAGAAGGGACCTACCAAAATTATGATTTTGCAGATTTCGCAAAATGTGGCATTGCCTGCAAAAATGGGCAATGCACACAAAATCCACAAAACAAAAACAAAAAAAAAGGAACTGAAAATAAAACACTGGATTGTTACTTTTAAATTGCCAATTGCTCAAATCACGAGCGAGCCCTTATAAAGGGGGATAAGGCAAAATGCTGTGTTTATTGATTACATAAATTAGACAAAGAGGTTTGGACACATCACTCATATAGACGCACACAAATCATCATGCACAAAACTAATGCACGGGCACACACAAACACAAAACAACCATTCCATTCAGACATTATAATTACCAGCAGCAGTTGTTCAATAATAGCACTGGGTGGCCATCCTAGATCTTATTGAGAGAAGATGCAGATAGCAGGTAGGGTGGTTATTTTGAGAGAGATCCTGTAGATAACAGCTTGGAGTGGGGTGAAACAGATGCGTCTGTGCTCCGACAAAACAGCAGTTGAGAGACTCGCCCAACTTTGAGAATGCTAAGTTGTCTTTGTAGGGGTTGGCATCCTTTGTTAAGTGCTTTGGGGTGGTTTTCATACCCAGCCTCTGTTTTTGAGGTTTTTCTTCATTCATCTTCAGCTTATCTCAGCTTGAGGTCATTTTGGTCATCCAAGTTGGTATCTTAGCCTTGGAGTATTCTTGCTGCCCATCTGGCAGGATGTGTGCCTCTCTCCTCCTTGTTATCTCCTGTTGTGTCTTAGGCCTCCTAATTCTTCAGCCGTCCATTAATTAGTTTACTGACTGGTGCCCTTTATATTTGGTGCCTTGTTGCTTACATAAACAGTTAAGTCTCCTTCTCCCATCTCTATGCCATTCTCTCACCATTCACCCTTTCACATCCACTCATTCAAAAAGGGCATACAGAGTTAATTCACTTATGTCAAGCAAAATAGTACAAAAATGGAGTTTTCAAGTTACTTACAAGACAAAACTAACATGGTTACATTTCACTACTATTACACTCTATGTTAACATCAGCTACATTAGTTCGGTTCATGCTACAGGATCCCCAGAGGGAGCTGGCAGTGCATAGGGCACTGCAGCAGCCCATCAGCGAGGAGGGGGAAAGGGACAAGGGGAAGCTGCTCAAAGGGCTGCCAGCAAGATAGCTGCCATCCCTCCTTTCACCATTGATTGGCTGTAAGGGCTGCCTGTCATGTGGTCCTACCCCTCTCCACCAATCAGTGCAAGAGGTGAAGCTACATGATGGATGCCCCTCACAGCCAATCAGCAGCAGAGCCAGGACCATATAACAGGGATCCTTCACAGCCAATCAGCAGCAAGGGGTGGGGCTACTGGAGCCCTTGGCCAATCAGAGGTGTGGGAGGAGGTGGGGAGCTGCTGCACTCTGCCCACAAAATGGCTGCCAAGCCCCACAATCTGCCCATGAAATTGGCAGACAGTCACCACAAATTCAGAAGGTCCCTAGTAATAAGTGACTAATAATACAGTATTAATAACCTGGCCATGATCCTTGAGGCTAATAATTTTTTTGGTGATGTTTTTTATATGGAGATCTAAACAGGGTTCTGGGACTTGCATAAAATGGTAACTTGCACTGAGTGCATAAAGTGAACACTGAGAAATATAGATTGTACCCAGCAGCATCTGTGGTACTACTGAATGTTAAAAATTATGCAATGTAAAATTTACATTCTGGTTAGGCAGCAGATTCTTAACCAAGGTGTCATGACACCCTGGGGTTTTGTGAGATTCTTTTAAGGGTGCTACACCATATTTACACTGTTAGGTGTGCAAATATCTATACGCAAGATAAACCCAGGGATTTCAAACAGGAATGCATAGTATCAAAATCATTGACTTGTTGTGGTCGTTTTGAGTTCTTTGCAACAAAAGATTCACTTTGCTATTTTTTTGACTACAGAAAAAATTGTGAAAACCTAAAAGCTAGCATTTTCAAGGGGTGCCTTGAGCCTAAAAGGGTTAAGAAACACTGTGCTAGGCTAATTGAAGACATTATTAAGGCTGTTTTAAAGTGCTGTTCCTAATGTTCCTTCACTCTCAAATGAGAAGCTCTTGTGCAATGGCAAGCAACCGCTTTTCATAGCACTCTGACTTTACATACTTAGACTCTTGTTTTTGCAGGTCGATGTTGGCTGGATGCTCTGGAGCTTGCCCTGCGTTGTTCCAGTCTCTTCAGGCTCAGCACCTCCAAACAGGGGAAGGATGGAGAACTGAACTGCTCATCTGATTCCTCGCATGCTGGCCTATACAACCTCTTGCACACTGCCACCATCTCTGACCAGGAGCTCTTCCAGTAAGACATTTTTGCCTCTTGGGCTTGTAAAGGTGTTGGCATGTATAGATGAATGATTTTTTTTTTTTTTAACCTTATTTTGTTCATCGGCTTGGTAGTCTAACTTCAAGGTCTGCCTAGATACATTCTCATACCTCACTCAGTCTGCAACATCTGGGTGCTTTTTGGCCAGTGTAGGAGTTGATTTGTCTTTTGCCACCTGAAAGCTTCAACCTACAGACTGGGAAAGGACTGGTTGGAATCTTAGTTGTGTGAAAGTGTGTGCAAGGATCAAGTCCACTCTTCCTCTTACTTGAGCTAAACTTCCGTTGAAGCTAATTTGGGTAGAAGAATTGCTTGCCTGGGTTGAGTTCCAGTTTATAGATAAGCCCACCAAATTGGGTAGGTAACTGGATGCAACCATTCCAGCATCTGCCATCGTTTAAGCCACTGACAGACATTCAGTGAAAGACGTAATGCAGTCCCAACAACTGTACTTCCTGCCATGCTGCACATACACAGTAGGAGGAGTGACTGTGGGATCAGGGATCAGATCCCCATTGCACCATATTGCCAGTGCAGGGGGAGCCTGGGATCATGATGACAGAAAGCATCAGTCAGCTGATCGGTGTTCCCAGCCACAGGAACACACTGAGTTCCTGCAGCTGGGAGTACTTGGCAGCCCTTCAGTTATAGCTCATACAACTCATGAGTACAACTCCTTTTTTTTTCCTTCATTCCTTCCAGGTATAACATGAGATGAGGGTGGGACAGCACAGTAGGAAATCTGAGGTGTTACTCAGACGTACGGGTTAAATGTAGATCTGTAATCTCATGGGCCATATCCTTGTTGACTTTTCAGTTCTCCCATTTGCTGCTAAAGAGACAATACATTATAACAGTACCCATGTTAAGAGCTTATATTGACAGTGAACCAAGGAACATAGTGTAGTTTCAGGTATAAGAAAGGTTCCAAGTACAAGAAACTGAGGCTTATGTAGCAGCATTAAGCTTGTGCTTTTTTTTCTGACTTGTGGGCACTTGAATCCTTTGCCAGATGGGAGATGGTCTTGTAAAATCAGATATCATGCATCAGTTATAGAAGTACCATTGCCTTGCTGCACACTTGTCTAAAAATGTTTGTACTTGCTTCATGTTACTACATTAATGGCATAATAGCAATGCTTAAGGCATTCAACTGGGTTTTGAGGTTGTATTGTGCTTGGTACCATGCAGTTGAGTAAAAAGGACACAGTAGAAGGAGTTCAGTCCTTTATACCACCTCTGCTGTGGTACCCTGTTATATCCTGCTATGACAAAACTACTGTTACACCTGTGTGTACATTCTAGGACAGGAGTAAACCTGTAGCCCTGGTAATATGCATTTGAAGCTATAGTAAGTGGAAATCACAGGAGACTGGCTAGGAGTGTATTAAAGTATTCCCCCTATATCAGAGATGAAGTTTATACAACAGCTACTCTCTTTTCTGATTGCATGTTCAACATTAAGAGGCCTACTTAGCCCTCTAGAAATAGGGGCTTCAACAATACTGCAGAAAACAGTTTTTAGAAATGTTCAGCAGCCATAACTGGGATCTGATATTCAAAAGAGCTTGGCTCCTGGCAGAGTCTGGCTGCAGTTGTTGGCACTGAGCGTTACTCAGAGTTTAGCTCTTAATGCAACTCCATTCTTAATGCTGGTGTGTTTGAAGCTTTGCCATAAGATTCAGTCTTCCCAAAAGGTTTAGAGCCTTGGAGACTTTGGCATCTGCCTGGCAGAGGTGTGAATTCCCCAAAGTGACAGGGGATGAGCAAACTGGCAGAAAGAGAGACCATGAAAATAACATTCCCCAAGTGCTGAGCTAGAGGTTGTTGACTTACCCCTGACAGTGCCTTTCTCAGGGATTCATTCATTCTAATTAAATGCCTTTCCTACAGGGAATCATACCAATTAAGTTGGCATGCTGTTATTAGGGAGGCAGTTAATTACATTTAACTCTATCTTCAAATTAGTCAAACTACTCTGTCAAGGGGGGAAAAAGGGCAGATGTTGTATATTCTGGAGACAACCTGAAACCAGCTCCATGTAGAGGGAGAAATTTATCTTGGGTAAATACTATGCATGTCTGATGGCACCTTTGTTTCTCTCCTGGGAGAAAGTGAAAATGACAGAATAGCAAAACTGATATCTTTACTGCCTTCCATGTCATGTGTGCATGATTTCTGGCTCGCTTTTGTGGTTTTAAATTTCCAAGCCTTCTGCAGGGTTGCAGACTTAAGACTGTATAGACTTGAATAGGGCTTCACTCATGACTTCAGAAGGAATATACACTTCTTCCATCTCTTAAATGTCTTAGCAAGCTTTTGGGCACAAGCACCCTTCTTCAGGCCTAGGGAGACTCTGCTGTTCTGAGATCTCCAAGGAATGAAAGAAGCTAAAAGTGTGACAGGATGTCAGTGAGAATGTAAATAGGTGAACATTAGGAAAACAATGGGCAGAGAAGGGGATTTCCACTTACAGTACTTATATTTTCACTGACATCCTGTCACACTTTAGCAATCTTTCAGGCAAAAGCTCAGTAACTTTTGTTCCAACTGCTCAGTTGGTCTAATAAAAGATATCACATCTACCCGAAGAACCTTGCCTGCCTATGTCCTTAGACAAACATGGATACAACCAAAAACCCTGCATCTCTTAAATAGAATCAGGAGTCATTGTAGAGGTGATAACTTTTAATAGTTGGTCTAATAAAAGAGATCACCTCTACCATGAGTCCTGATTCCTTTTTGCCTCTAGACCAATGGCTACAACCTGGATACCTGACTGCATCTCTTAAATGTTGCTTTAGTCTTCAGAGATCTTCCTTCCTTGTTAGTCTGCCTTATCTACCTGTTGTCTGTCCTGTTTGAGTCCTGCATTATAACCTCTCTGAGCCAGAGGCTATTTCCTTTGTTATTTAAAGGCAGGAGGAGGAGGATCGTGTTCAGTAGGATGGGGTCATGATCCTTGATTGGGGTGTCTAGATGCTGCCATAATAGATATTATGAATAATATGGGGAGGGGAGGGTGAGCTGCCGGCGGGCAGAGTGGTCCCTGGGCTGCGTGGGAGGCTGGTGCTTCCCTCCATGGCTGCACCTGCCCACAGGCGCCCGGCTCTGGTGGTCCTGGGGGGCACTGCAGTCGCAGAGGGAAGCACCAGGCCCCTGCACAGCTCAGGCAGGCAGACAAGCTCCAGGGGGGGGAAAAAAAATCAGGCTCCCTGCTTTTCTTGGGCAGAATCTGCTTTCCTGGGCTGCTGCCAGGCTGCCTGCAGGGCTTCCTGCAGAGCCCCTGAGCTGCACAGAGTCCGGTGCTTGGAGGAGTTTTAGTTTGCTGTGCCCCAAGTCATTTAAGTCACATTATACCGCTGAGGCAAATTTCCTATAGCGGTTGGAATTAATGCGCCGAGGTGTGCAAACACTGACACCATTAAAGCAGTGCAGAAGCATTTAGCCCACTTTAAAGTGTCGTGTACACGTGCCCCTCATTTCGTCTATACGTGACCTTAGATCCTAGTTGAAAGCCAATGTAAGCCTTTCTTACTGACTTTAGATCAGGCTCATGACTTGGTTTTATTTATAATGTAAATATTTCTCATTTTTAACAGTTCTGTTTGGCATCATTTGTGAGAAGAGAACTGGCTGGCTCCATTTAAGTCAGCTGAGTATGCTGTTCAGAATGAAGAGCATCTGGTTCCCCCAGAGC